CCTTTTCCAGACTGATAGACCTCAATTACTTTCTTTCTCATTTGTTCCTGGATTTCTTTGGATCTCGGCATGATGTGTAGCTTTTGAGGATCTTTTGGTCTACTTCACTTTGTCAGTCAAGTCTTATTTAAGTGATTTCTTGATTTCCTATAAAAACTGCATGTTGTGTTTACTCCTGGACTCCTACGCCTGGACGGTCATGCCCCAAGGGGCCCAAAACTCTCCCTCCCAATTTGCCAGAGCAATGACCCGTCAGTATGTGGATGATCTCCTGAAGCCGCTCCATGCCTTTCTTGGGCTGATTTCCTACTGCAGAGCATGGATCCCGGAAGTCTCTTTGCTGATGCCACCTCTCTATGATGCTCTGAAGTCTGATCCCTTCCAAATGTCCCCGGAAGCAATCTCCAACTTCGAGATTCTCAAGCAAGCTATTTCATCAACTCCTGCTCTAGGAATCCCAGACTATGAGCAGACCTTCAAGCTTTTTGTGTGTGAACGTCAAGTACATGCTACAGGTCTGCTCACCCAGTCCCACGGCAACCGCCTACGCCCATCCTGCAGATTGGATGCAGTGGCCAGAGGAGGCCCCTCCTGTCTTCGAGCTGTCTTTGCTGCTCCAGCCTTGCTTGACAAGACCTCGGACCTAGTCCTGGCCATCACCTTATCCTGCTTGCACCCCATGACATTGCTGCTATACACAACCTGGTTCAACCCAAACACCTGTCCACGGCCCGAATATCACCCTGATGCGTTGCAACACGCTAAACCCCTCCACTCTCCTCCCACTTACCGAGGGAGGAGGCAGTGAAGAGTCTGAAGACCCCGACCCTTCGCGTCTGAAGACCCCGAACCTTCGCACAACTGCTTTGAACTGATGAAGATGGAAACTACACATCTCCCCACTGTGAGCGAGAAGCCCAGCCCTCACACCTTTTGTTGATGGCTCCAGGTTTGCCGATGAGCGAGGCAAGTACCACACAGGCTATGCAGTGACCACTGAAGATACAGTCCTGCAAGCTGCAGCCCTGCCATCAATGATGTCTGCACAAGAGGCTGAACTACAAGCACTGACCACAGCGTGCAGACTGGCTGAAAGAAAAAGAGCAAACATCCATACGGACTCAAGGTACGCCTTTGGGGTTGCACATGACTTTGGAGTCATATGGAAGGCCAGGGGATTCCTGACAGCGGCAGGGACACCAGTAAAACATAGCTCAGCTATCAAGGACTTGATGGATGCCCTACTTCTGCCAACTCAAGTGGCTATCTTAAAGGTGAAAGCTCACGGCAAACTCAACTCACAGGAAGCTCGAGGTAATCATTTGGCAGACTTAGCGGCCAAACTAGCAGCAGCAAGTGACACACGTGAAGTGGAAGAGAGATGGTACCAGGAGAAGATTCTACTTCAGTTCTGAATCTACAGACCCTACCAGCGAACAAAGACCACTTGAAGGAACTTCAAGGAACTGCAAGCCCAGAAGAAAAAGAGGCCTGGAAGAAGAAGGGAGCAATTCTAAAGGATGGATTGCTTGAGTGCAACAAGAAGTTTTGCCTACCCAGAAGTCTGTATCCAGCAGTGGTCCAGTGGGCACATGGAGCAGCCCACCTGTCGAAGAACCTTATGAACTCCCTCATCAACAAGTACTATACAGCACCTGGGATCACCACATTGACAAACAACTTTTGCAGATCATGTGCTATCTGTGCCAAGTGCAACCCAGGACGCGCAGAGAAGACACCACAGAAGCATCTTGCAAAACCCCTGTACCCCTTCCAGAGAATACAAATCGACCACATCCAAATGCCAAAGAGTGGGCAGTTTGAGTATGCCCTAGTGGTTGTGGATATGTTCTCTGGTTGGCCAGAAGCTTATGCAGTAACCAACATGATTGCCAAGACCACTGCAAATAAACTTTTAACTGAAATAGTGTGCAGATACGGTGTCCCAGAGGTTATAGAGAGTGATCACGGCCTCAGTAACTAAAGAGGTATGGACAGGTCTAGGGGTCACATTAGCCTTCCACACCCCCTACCATCCGCAGAGTAGTGGGAAAGTAGAAAAGATGAACGGCACTCTGAAGGTCAGAATGCTAAAAATGGCCCAAGAGACTGGTATGAGTTGGT